GATGTCAAAAGGATATGATGTTTTGTGGAGTTTTTGATGGGCATGGACCATGGGGCCATTTTGTTGCAAAGAAGGTTAGAGAATCAATGCCAATAGCTTTGCTCTACAATTGGCAAGAAGCACTTGTTCAAGCTTCTCTTCACCCACATTTGGAACTCAACTTAGCCAAAACACATCTAAAGTTCAATTTATGGGAGCATTCTTATGAACAAGCTTGTGCTATGGTGGATGGAGAACTCGAACGACACCGTAAAATCGACACGTTTCATAGTGGAACGACGGCACTTTCCATCGTTCGACAAGTAATGTGATAGTCGTTATGTTACTATCTTTTATACGTGTGAGATTCCACATTGGTTGGAGAGGGGAACAAAACATTTTTTACAAGGGTGTGGAAACCTCTCCCTAATAGATGCGGTTTAAAAAAAAACGTGAGGTTGATGGTGATGTGTAACGGGCCGAAGCAGACAATATTTGTTAATGGTGGGCTTAGGTTGTTACAAATTGTATCAGAGGCAGACACTGGGTGGTGTGGCAACAAGAATGCTGGCCCCTCAAGAAGGGTGGATTATGGAATCCCACCTCGGTTGGAGAGGGGAATGAAGCATTCTTTATAAAGGTGTGGAAACCTTTCCCTAGCAGATGGGTTTTAAAAAAAACCGTGAGGCTGACGGTGATACGTAATGAGATAAAGCGGACAATATTTGTTAGGGGTGAGCTTGAGCTGTTACAAATTGTATCAGAGTCAGACACCGGGCGATGTGTCAGCGAGGACGTTGGACCTCCAAGGAGAGTAGATTGTGAGATCCCACATCGGTTGAACAACGAGGACGTTGGGCCTCCAAGGAGGGTAGATTGTGAGATCCCACATCAGTTGGACAACGAGAACGTTGGGTCTCCAAGGAGGGTAGATTGTCAGATCCCACATAGGTTGGACAATGAGAACGTTGGGCCTCCAAGAAGGGTAGATTGTGAGATCCCACATTGGTTGGACAACGAGGATGTTGGGTCTCCAAGGAGGGTAGATTGTGAGATCCCACATAGGTTAGACAATGAGGACATTGGGCCTCCAAGGAGGGTAGATTGTGAGATCCCACTTCGATTGAACAATGAGGACGTTGGGTCTCCAAGGAGGATAGATTGTGAGATCCCATATCAGTTGGAAAACGAGGACATTGAGCCTCGAAGGAGGGTAGATTGTGAGATTCCACATCGGTTAGACAGGGAAACAAAACATTCCTTATAAGGGTGTGGAAACCTCTCCCTAACAAACTCGTTTTTAAATTGTGAAGAAGACGGCGATAAGCAACGGGCCAAAACGAACAATGTCTGCTAGATGTGGACTTGGGCTGTTACGATATGATTTATAGTGTTCATTTTCTTTATCAAGCTTTTTATATGAACTTGTGATTTATCAGGGTGATACAATTATCATTGCGAACCTCGGTGACTCTCGGGCCGTGTTAGCTACAACTTCTAACGATAGAAACTCGATGCCGACACCAATTCAGCTCACTATCGATTTCAAGCCGAATCTACCTCGTTCGTTCCTCTCTTTATATATAAACGAGTATTGAAAAGAGAAAGCACAAAGCTCTAACATGTTTGTTATTTGTTATGCTTAGAGGAGGCTGAGAGGATAGCACAATGCAGTGGGCGGGTTTTCTGCTTGCAAGATGAACCTGGGACGCACCGTATTTGGTTGCCGAATGGGAAAACGCCAGGGCTATCATTGTCGAGATCGTTCGGAGATTTTTGTGTTAAGCATTTTGGTCTCATTTCCATGCCTGATGTAACACAAAGAAGTGTAACCAACCAAGACTTGTTTGTTGTACTTGCAACAGATGGGGTAAGGCTCTTCACACTTGTTTTTCTCACCTAAATGCATGAGTGTAGAATCAAATGCTTCATCTATGTGTATCAGATATGGGACGTGGTGTCGAATCAAGAGGCGGTACAAATCGTACATTCGAGTGTCAATAGAGAAAAATCAGCTCGACGTCTGGTTGATTATGCTACCGGTGCATGGAAGCGGAGGAGGCCGGGAATTGCAGCGGATGACATGTCGGTTGTCGTCCTCTTTCTCCATTCTTCACCTTTGCATCATCAACCTCTTGCTCTGATGTAGCTTTACGAGCTTTAATCGTACCACATGACATGGTGAACAAAACCATGTCGTAAAATAATACTCTTGAATTTTCAATTTGATCAATAGCTTTCTCAAACTTACAAAATTGTTGTAATTTAGTTAGATAAATGCATATATCTGAACCGTGCTATGCTAAGAATCTTTGAGGACGGGATGGCTAAGAAACGCTTAAAAGAATTGAAAATCATATACCTTCCTTTTTTATGGCTCAATTCATAGGAACTCCATGGTAAGCGTGCTTTGCCCTAGCAATTCTATATTGGGTGTGTTAGGAATCACGACTCTTCACAATGGTACGATATTGTTCACTTTGAGCATAAGCTCTCACGGCTTTGATTTGGGTTTCCCCCAAATGCCTCGTACCAATGGAGATACATCCCTTGCTTATAAACCCTTGATCATTTCCTAAATCAGTCAATGTGAGACTCCCTCCCAACAATCCTCAACAAGACGATCTCCTAGAAATTTTCCTAGGATGCATGTGAGTGACGATAAAACTTGCTTGAATGGTCTATGCTGATCGGTGGAAATAGTTTTCACTTTTAGAAACGAAGAGCAAGTAATCTGGCCATGTCATAGGGGATGTTGGAGCCATCAGGTGATGAGTCTGGATTCTGAATCTTGACCCTAATCTTAGGTATGGGTCGTTACAAATGGTATAAGACCGGTACCTTTTTCAACAAGATGTAGTGAATAGACAAACCTATGCAGAAGTTAGTGCCATGTGACACTCGAGTAAAGAATGAGTACATGAATGAACCGAAACCACATTATATGTTCAGTGACTTGACCTCCTGAGAATTTTCCTAAGATGCATGTGAGTGAGAATAAAGCAGGCTGGAACAACTCATGAAATAAAGAGTTTTATTCGTTTATTTATATTGAATTGATCTTAAACTTTATCTTGCTCCTAAAGCTTCCCTAACCGGGTCATCCCATTTCTTGATCCTAGTAGCCTAACTCAAGTTTAACTCAAGACTACTCATTAATAAACCTTTAACTTACCTTCTCTAATCGGGTTTTATCTAGTTTACGATGTCCATTGACTCTATGGAGTGCAATGTACCACTTAGATATAAAGGAGTTTCTAGGGCATCTTGGCTGACTAATAGTTATATGCACTAACATAATACATCGAGCTCGTATATGAGTTCCTCTCTCGATCAAAACGACTCATCTACTAGACTCTCTAACAGCTTGATATAGTATAAAGCGCGACGATTAGGCATACTCGAGGCCCTAACTTAGCACTTGGTGCATAAGTTAGGTGGTTCTGCAGGGCGTAATAGAAGGTTAGGCACTTGTCATGCCTATAGGTTGCCAATCTATAAATCATGTGTGAACCATTACTTCTAAGGGCAGCAACTCTTTAATAGTCCCCATGTCGGATGTCCTCGACGAGAGTGCAACCCTCTAATAGCCTATGATTCACCTTTCTTTAAGTCCTTGAGCCATATTTAGGATTAGTTATAGTTGTGTGGGTTGACTAATACTTTAGAGGGACGGTTAGAACGCAAACCCTAATCATGAACTTATGTCGTTAGTCTACTTAGTATATAGGAATGCAACGTCATTCACTTATGTCTCGTGACACTAGAGGGTTCTAGTGCGGGAGCACCAGTTGCACTTGCTATATAATTTGTCTTGGACCATCAAAAACCTGAAATGGAATAGGGACAAGGAGCTTGTTAGGTACCACTAGGAGAGCTTCCAACTAGCACTCAGTAGTAAGCACGTATAGAGATTGAAAGATTACCAATAGAGAGTGACAGCTCCTCAATACATTTTAGACCTATCTTAGAGCTCGTGATAGATGATGATATCGATGTATGATACTGGTCGTAGGCAGGAGTGTGTGGAGTTGTGTGTTACGGTCTTAAATTTTTAATGGTGCATCGTCGTGATCTTGACACACCCACGACAAACCTTGAGGGGAACCTAAGCCACATATTCATTTTTTGTCCATCTTTATGGCTTCGTTGAACTTTAGGTGAGGCTTATCTTTCGCCAATCGAACATAAATTATTTTGAATTCAAGCTTGTTCGGTCACACACGTTTCCTATACGTGCATGTTCAGTCTTCTGTAACCCAACCAACTTGCCTCTATACTAAGTAAAGTCAATCGACTTGACCTTGCCTCTACTCGAGGTCGAGGTCTCGCATGTGCAACGTCGCATTTCATCATGTCTTCTTGATTCTCAGTTAACACAACCATCATGCCTTGATGCCATCCCAAGTTTTGGGATGTCATCGACCATCATAGCTTGCTCGGTCCAACTCATCGAGAATAGGCCCAAGTGCATCCATAACATTGGAACATCCTGAACATTCATCCATATGGGTTCTATCGAGGCATTGGACCTTCTCGTGTCCATGCTAGTTCATTTACGGAATCTCTTTAGATAATGGGTGCACAATTCGACCTTCGACATATGGGTAGGGGCGAAATGTTGGCACATTGTGCCATCCAACACTGTCCTTGAAAGACCCATTTGAAAGGAAGTCGCTCAAAACATTCGTCTCATAATGCTCAACATCACTTGACACACACATGTGTCATAGGTTAGCTTGCTTAGGCCATAGAGTCTAGGGGTGGTAGATAGCTAACACATGACTCCCTAAAGTACATTCTAAGGTATTTCTAACATAACAGGTATAGACATGATTTTGATAAATAGTTATACTGTGATTTCCATTAATATTTATAAATTAAAAAATATATTTACATTACTTTTGAATAGAAACGATTAATATTTTATTTAAAAAATATCTTTTAATATTTTTTTTATTTATTAATTTAGGCTTATTTATTCAATAGCTTGTATTTTGAATCTGACATGTCTGGGCCCATTTATTCGATGCTCAAACCCGATGAACACTCATAAACCCTAACTCATTATTCTTTCCCTGAGATTACATTACGTCCACTTCTTCACTTCGCTCTGTCAGGTAATCTTTCTTCTTCTCCTCCTCTTCGCCGTTGATTATCCCCGCTTCTTTATCGGTAGAACTTCAATTTATGCAATCTTGTTCTTTGGGATTTTATATCAGCGAAACAACGCTGAAATCCAATATTACGATCATAGGGGTCTACGGATTGTCAGTCGTTTTGTTCGATATTGTTCGCCTTACAATTTCTATACGTTTTTGTAGACTTGTGTGTGTCATGCGTTTTATTGTCGATTTATAGAATGAATTTGGAATTATTAGGTTAGCGATAAAGCAGTTTTTGATTGTTTAGAGATCGAGTTTGTCGGCCATTAATCTGAATATTGTGGAGCTGATGCGCTGTTTCTCATTTGTGTATTATTTGAAGTCTGAAATTTTCGGTGTAGGGAGTGAAGTACTATTGATTTAGGATGTATATACTTCCCCACTGCAGTTTTGCTTTGTTTTTGTTTTTGGTTTTTGAATTTGAGTGGAACAAATAGAACAGTTCTATGAGTAGAATAAAGTGACTCAATTCGACTGTATGAATCCGTAATTTTGTAAGGTACGTACTAGTCTGAGTTTATTGCCCCGATTGTTAATTTCCGATGTCTTTCAATTCTTTTCTTCATGGACAGTGTTTCTGAATCAATGATTTTGGCGTGCAGTTTACAAATTTTAACTACATCATTGTTCATTTGATTATCATGGATGACACTCCTGCAGACACCAAAAAAAAAAAAAAAAAAAATTTGCA